CCTCCATAGTACCCACCACAGGAAGGTCATTCTTTGATGCAAAACAGACGGACAAGTTCTTTTCTAATACCTTTGGGGAGACAGCAGCAGTTGAAGGACGTATTGTCTCATCCTCCTCCATAGTACCCACCACAGGAAGGTCATTCTTTGATGCAAAACAGACGGACAAGTTCTTTTCTAATACCCTTGGGGAGACAGCAGCAGTTGAAGGACGTATTGTCTCATCCTCCTCCATAGTACTCACCACAGGAAGGTCATTCTTTGATGCAAAACAGACGGACAAATTCTTTTCTAATACCCTTGGGGAGACAGCAGCAGTTGAAGGACGTCCTGTCTCATCCTCCTCCATAGTACTCACCACAGGAAGGTCATCCTTTGATGCAAAACAGACGGACAATTTCTTTTCTAATACCCTTGGAGACACACCAACAGTAGCAGGACATACAGCCACTTGTTCTTCAAATGCCACCAAATACACACAATTATTTGAAAGCACTGGCAACTGCTCTTCGAACGCCACGAGAGAAACAGGGTTTTTAACGGGAGCAGACAAGGCCTCTTCGTATGCCCTCAGCGGAACAACCATTCCATCTGCATCACCCACGGGCACATAGAGTACGTACAACTTCCATGTTTCCTTGAACTCGCAGGCTGCCAGAGCCTTATCCACATCACTCTGTCGAAGAGACGATGCGTGACGAAGATCAAACTGAACGGACAAACTACCCAGAACATACTTAGCCCCGAACACTGAGCCTCTGGGAATCCCGAGAGCATCACACACGTCCGTGTCAAATGCCCGCTCAAGCTCCGCACGTCTGTGCTCCAGTACAAGTCCCCAGACATCGCCATCAAAACGCACACGGTGACGTGTTACCACGGTATCGGCATCGTCGTCAATTGGGACAGGCAACACTTCTTCAAATGCAACAAGAGGGGCAACGTCCTGAATCGGCACAGAAAACTCTTCTTCGGAAGCAACCAGAGCATCGGGATCTCGAATCGTCACAGGCAACACTTCTTCGTATGCAACGAGAGGAGCAACGTCCTGAATCGGCACAGAAAACTCTTCTTCGGA